ATCTTTTATATATTTCAGCAAAGCTGCGGACGGTAAAACAAATGTTGAAATATACCTCGAGATGAAGAGCAACAGCACTGCCCATTTGGGTAACCTTATTGCCCAGCTTGCCAAGGGAAAGCTCGGTGCATACCCAGCAGGAAAGAAATTAGTCTATGCAGGTAATATCCACATCTTTTAAACATTATTAGTGTTAAAATGCATGTGAAATGGAATTATAAATGACAGATAATGTTTTCCATTTCCATAATGACGTTGGCGAGATGTGCAGTGCAAATGAGAAAAAGTGCCTTTAGCCGTGGTTCGTTATTGACCGTCTTAGCGGTCTTTCAAGTTGCTCTAAGATAAACAAGATAAAGAAATAAAGAAAGGAAACTAGTGCTTCATTAGAAGGAAATAAGWCAGGGAGAAAGACCCTTGGAAATAAATTCAGAAAAAAAATAATTTCCGACCTTGCTAGGATTCGAAACCAAGTCCCTCCGATTTGTACTATCGATGTTCTACCACCGGAGCTATTCCCTTCCTTTATTTCTATATCATGTTTATCATACTGCCATGCTGTCCACACATTACTTTTCAAACAAGATTGCTTTCGTCAACATCACGATGCACCTCATCAAAACACGGTTGACGTCATCACAGATCSATAAGACTATGATGGAATTTCTTTATTGTGTTTATTATGYGACTCATTGTTCGAATGATTTTAAAATTAATCTTCTCTATATAAGGTTGCTACTACGTTCCACCAATCCAAGTCTGYTCTTATGGTTGYCCRACAATATGCGCCCCATCATGCAGCACCACATGCTGCAATCAGTACGCAATACCTGCACCWCCAGTTGTTGTCCCTGCACCWCCACCACCACCACCTCCTCCWCCACCACCATCTTGCCCTGCACCATGCCATCCTGCTTGCGCYCCTTCCTGCACCCCAGCATGCTGCAATACAGGATACTTGGCCGGCCCTTACGGAAAGAGGGAACATGCCCCAAAACCCAAAAAGGAAGACATGAAGAAACTCAAGAAGCACTTACTCAAGAAACACCACAAGTCCAACAAGCACTAAAAGTGATTTTTCATCTTTGAGACAGGATTTTGAAAGATTGGAAACACTTTTTTGAATTCTGTTTAGGTTTTTAGGATAATCCCTTTTAGTAAAGATATTACTGAAGTTCATAGGAAAMCCCTTTAGCTGAATACAACGTACAGCTATCCTTTAGAATTAAAGACCCCGAAACCGATTTGGAAAGTCCATCAATATCAATATGATAGTTCCTTGGCGAGATTCTGTTGAAAAGATATATCATAAATTTTGCCAAATTCGCAAGTGTTCAAACGTTTTCAGTACGTTTTGAAAGAGTTTGGATACATGTGAGACGTACGCCGAGTTTTTGAAGCTATTCGTACACTTTAGTGAACTTTCGTATAAAGTTATCAATGGCTATTTCCAGGAATTTTGAYTTGCAAAATCCATGGAAACTCCGAATAGAAGAGGTTCAATCTTTAGCAATATGAATCATATTTGAAGTTTATGGCTCGAATCGAGCCGTTTAATATACTGCCAAGACGTTATAGCTGGCGAATTAGGTTAAACTGCCTGTAGATATTTCAAGATTCCTGGGGCCTTCGGAAAACCTTTGACAATCATCAGAGGGCTATCAGATATCTCTTCTAGTGACAAATGAGCAACATACTTCGAGCAGATCTGCTTTCCTTCACGAGGAAAATGCGTCTGTTCCAGAGAAAAATGAGCTGTAAATTTTGAAAACCGTGTTCTTCGTATTCTGAGTAATCAGTATTCACTATATTGTATTTATAAAATAGTGAAAAACTGAAAGTTTATTATTTTTTAGGTTCATGTTTATTTGTTTGGTTATTTGTAGCATTGTCTTAAGTGTTACTGGGAAATTRTTAGGATTTAATGTCTTAATGTATATAAATATTGTAAGTTGCAAAGGTAATAAAAAACAACAGACATAAAATTGAAAAAAAAAACTTCTTGTAAAGTCTTTTTGTCACAAGCGGTTGACAACAGGCAAAAAAAATCTGATTTCTCGTAAACTGCCAATAATCATAAAGATCCAAGGGCAGATTAACAAGCAATTGATCATTTTCAACCATTCCAATGAGGTTCAAAAGACCAGCGGCCATGCTGGAGGAATAAAACAATAGATACAATTGCCGGAAATCCTTTGTTGAAGTTCCTCCAAGATGTCCGCTTTACTGACGTATATTGAAAACGAAGAATAGGGATTAATTTTGCTGCGAGGCCTCCACTGCCTAAGAATACTCTTTGCGGACTTAAAATTTGGAAATGTAGACCTATTGTGCAAACCTGTTTAAATGCCGCAGTTTATGTCGGGATTATTTTGGCATTGGATGTGTTTGTAGCATAAATAAAACTCATGGGCGTAGGGAGGGGGGATAAGCGTCTGCGGCCCACCATTTTGCAAAAATTAAAAAAAAAGGCAAAACATTTTTGCACATCCTTATTTGTCATTAGCTCTTTCGCATTGAGGAAGCAAAGGCGCCAACCCCAACATTCACTGGAAAAAATCGCGCGCCATAAAGGTTGTAAATTTGATGGAAATATGATGTAGGTGTCCAAAATGATGGAAATTTGATGGAAATGATTTACATCAGATTTACATCATTTTGGACACTTACATCATATATACATCAAATTTACAACCTTTAAAGCGCGCGATTTTTTTCAGTGATTGCTGGATCCGTCCCTGAGACAAATGCATGTTTGAATGAATTACTGACTGTTTGTAGTGCCATAGTTACTGGTAAATCTCTTGAGGCGAGTTTCAAAAGTGATTCAGTATACGTACTGAATGAAAAAATCAAAAATGAGGTTCCGATGGGTTTGTTACAACTTAGGTGAATCGGACCATGGATAATAAAAYCACTTTTATTGTCCATGATCGGACAGTTCGAACGATTATGTTAACACTAGGCCTTATGCCTAACAGATTAAGTGCGCGCACTCTACTATTATTCTCTACTTATTATTAAAACAGGACAAATTTGATTTTGTAATCATTGATTGAAAATGTCTACAAGTGAACTAAACTTTAACCTTTTTATCCTATTGTAACATGGATTCCTTACAATTYATAATATTATCATATGTAAGTTTGTTGTCCATATGTTGTTTGCCTCTCTCTCTATATATGACTTCTTTACCTTGGGTCTCCTGTGTGAATGATAAAGAAGTTTGCATGGTAAAGGTCAGTTTTCAGTCGTCGGCGTTAGTTCGCRARGAGAGGAGAAAAAAGCCGATTATCGTAGCTACGTTAGACAAGCAGTTAGGGTTAGAGTACAGTAGATTGACTATAATGAGGAGTGATCTCCAAAAAACTGTACGAAGCCATTGCGCCATTAAATCTATAAGGCGACGAACTGGGCTGCCTGTGCAGCAACGAGACCTCGATGGCCATATACACGACTTAAAAAAATGGTGGTAGATCACGACCGCCAATAAKTGGGTGCTAGTGACGACGAGTAACGGAAACGAGACCTCAAAGGCCTTCCATCTAAAAATCACTACAAAGATCGCATGTAGGTAATGTCCAAAARTTTGTGAAAGATGTATTAGTATGTTACTTATAACAAARCACTCTTACAAGACAAMATGAAAGTTTAATATACGGAGATTTGCCTTTGAGACCTTGTTTTAGTGCTTTGCCACCGGTTTTGAAAGTCGTGAWTGCCCTGCACCGATAAACGGTAACTCACCGTTGCTATCAATGGCTGACTGTCTTCTCGTTATTAGAATTTAATTCTTCTTTAACCATTTTAATCAAATCTTGCCATCGACTGTTAAGATAATCGGAATCTTCCTCGAATATAGGRCTTTTGCGCTTGWTTTGGATATTACGACCAAASCGAAASWRVTTTYTAYSGATTGATTGGACTTGGACGACGCACGATATTACCAGCAAACATGTGAATAGAAGGACAGCGGTTGTTTGGAGCTTCATATTGTATCTGTTGAGAAAGGGGTGTTATTCTAATGACACGCTGAAATTTCATTAGCCACGGGGATGAGTGTTTGAATATCACTATTATAACTCTACATTGTCAGGAAAAAAATAAAATAATTTCATAAACTTTACAGTTCCCAATACATTTCTTTGTAATTTCCGGGGTCATCAGCGCGTGACGCGTGTGGAAAATGCAAAGAAACGTATTGAAAACTACAAATAAATTTACTCGCTTCCTAGATGAAGTACATCCTTCAAGTTTGGCCAGTTAACTCCTTTTTGTAGTATCTAACGCTTGCAAGTGATAATTCTTTCCGAACTTGAATTCAGCGAGAATTATTTGACATCGATTTCTCACTCTACCCTTGTTATTTTGCGACACTTTGCCTACTCGTCCAAGATGGCCGCCAATTTGAAACCGTCACCTCAACTTTTTATTGTCCGTTCAAAAAAAGCGATATAGCGGATATTTTTATGAAAGTTTCTTTTTTCATAAGAAAAATTTCTGCTGTCTTTAAATCAAACTTACCTTGTCAAGGTCTTTAGGTTTGTTGGTTATCTTGGAAACGTCTGAGATTCTGTCTGTTAGAAAAATGGATGCTTTTGATGAAGTATTTCTGCTCTTTTGGATTGCACTTAAAAATATTTAATCGAGTATGATTGGGCCCCCACTCAAGTCAGTCAACTTTTTTCGGCTCCTTTGTAGAGCGTACCTTAACCTCATTTCCAAAGATTTGCGCAATTTTATTGGTACAATGACGCGTATCCCCGTTGTGCAAGTTGTTTAAGTTCTCTGTATGTACAATTTACCAAAAAAATTAAACCYACTTCACAAAAACATTAAAAGTTTATAACAATGCTCAGAWCACAGTCGAGGACTTTTTGAGCTAATTATTCTTTCAAACTTTAGAGMGATTCCCGTGGACTTTTTGTCTTGGAGATTTCCGTATCCATCGGAGCTTGTAGAGAATTAATAGCAGCTTTTAAGCCATTTCAGAAATACGTGAACACTAGGAATTAAATGATTAATTCTATTGAGAGCCTATTTTTGCTATTCTTAGACCTGAATTAATTTGGTGGCCAAATTCTCAAAGCTCTTTTAAAAGGGACATGGTCTACCAGCATCTCAATCGAGCTTTTGCTCATGTTTGAAAATAAAAATGCATCCATATCAAATTTATTGCCATACACTATACCGGGTGACATTTGCCTAGATGTCTTAGATTAGACCTTTTGATTTGTTATATTTTAAATATTTCTCAAAAGTACACAAATGCCTAGCTTGGGCTACCTGTGATCGCCTGGCTATTTTAATGCTCAACTCAAACTCTTCAAAGGCGAAAATAAATACTTGGATTTTCCGATTTTCTCACGAAGAATACACAGAAAGGTCACATATATATTTTATTTCTTAGATTCGATGGTAGGTTTTTTTAAGATTGTCTTTAATATCATTGCATTTCTTCAAAAAGTCTTGAAATCTGGTCTCTTTTCGTCGAATTTGACAATTTACGAACTGTCAGGTTACGTTGAGTCAGCACGGACTTTTTGTCACCATTAAGTTTGATATGTAATATAAGCAAAAACGTACTCTTTATTATCCTTTTATACTATTTGAATGGAGAAACGAAACTGTTAATCATACACAGTACGTAACTAAGTAAACAACCATTCTGTCACAGTGCACCAATCAGCTCCTCCTCCTCCTCCTCCTCCGCCTCTTCCTCCTCCTCCTCCACTTCCCTTTCCTTTGTCTTGACCTCTGTCTTGTTTGTCAACACCTACGCTGCCCCATGTTTGTTTTACCGGTATTTTATTTCAGTTAGATATTTAAAAAAAAATTCAAAAATGTCTTCGACGATTACTCCCTCGCAGCCATTAATTCAACCTTTCGTTGGATTGATTCTTCTGACCAGTAAAATACTAAGAGGTCGGTAACTTCAGTAACGAATACAGTCAACTCTCCGTAATAGCGAGGTGTCCGTAAGGCTAGTTGACTGTAATGGGATCTGATTTTCATTATAGTGATGCACGTCATTGAAACAATAAAAGGCAAGAATTGTTCAAAATCTAAAAAAGCTTGAAAAATTCAATCAAAGAAGTTTATATATCAGATGGTTGCCAGTAACAACAACAGCAAAACAACAAACAACAATTACGCCTCATCCCAGCAAATGCGCAGTACATCAACAACTTGTAAGAAAGGTTATCGCTCTGGATTCCTAGTGGTAATTTGACTTGTTAACCGTATACAGAGTAGTAATCTTATCAATATCGAAAAGTACAACGATTGATTAATGTGACGATCCAGTGAGCGATGTGTATTTACGGCTTAGCTWGTAGAGACATGCACAT